TTAGGTGGCTCGGGCATCTGTTTAGGATGCCTCCTGGACGCCTCCCTGGTGAGGTGTTCTGGACACGTCCCACCGGGAGGAGGCCCAGGGGAAGACCCAGGACACGCTGGAGGGACTGTTTCTCGGCTGGCCTGGGAACGCCTCGGGATTCCCCCGGAAGAGCTGGCCCAAGTGGCTGGGGAGAGAGAAGTCTGGGCCTCCCTACTTAGGCTGCTACCCCCGCGACCCGACCCCGGATAAGCGGAAGAAAATGGATAGATGGATGGATGGTTATATGTATATATTTATTTAAAAGTAATCAATTTTTTGTAGAATATAGAAATAAAATTTTAAAGCCAAAATGTGCAAGGGTTCTGAGATCCTTTTAAATTCAGGAATGTTGGCACTCTTTTTTTTGTAGCATCATTCCAACTATTTTGGAGTATTGACTCATCAGAGTCACCTTCTGATGAGCCAAACATTGGTCATCAGTTCATGTTGGCTATTATCAAGCACTTTTCAGTCGATGCTTGAAATTCATTTCACTTGTCACACTAAAATTAGCCATACACAAAACTGTACAGCTGGCTCATAAAGATCTCCATCTAAGATTTCCTTATTACATTAAATAGGTTTTTATTACCATAAACTAACTAGCACAAAATACTGCTTTGTTTTTAATGTAGACCATTAAATTAGTGGAAGAATAAATTGAGGCAAAGTATTGACTCACAACAAAGTAATGGATTCTCAATCAGTTACCATCATGTACATTTCAAACAATTAAAATCTATCCCTTTGGGCAGCACTCTGGAAATAATGACGTTTGCTAGCCTTGTAATGGGTCTATTAACGTTTTATGAATTGGCACAGTGGAGCACTGGATATAATGCTCTGCCCATGTGCTGTAAAAAAAATTTTTAACTGGACACAATGATTTTATTTTTATACATTATCTTCTGCCCTGAAACCAAGCAGAGCCATAATTGTTACACATGAACAGAGCAACTATCTATTCCTTTAACATTTTTCAAACGTTTTCTATAGCGACTTCAGTGGTAAGACACTGAATCCTCTTCCTATGCACCTTCTCTGACCTAATTAAGAAATTCTGACTTTCACTTAGAACATTTCTGACAGACAAGATGTGTGAATTGATTTGTTTTGTTGAAAGACCTTTGCCCCGATCAACATTTGTTTTACTATGCAAATATATGTGTGCAGAGTATAAACTATAGCCTATATCATGCACATCCATGTAAAGCACACACACATTTGCGTAGTGACACAGACATTGTTTGATTAAGAAAATGGTGGCAAACTAAATGAACAGTGCCATCCGAAAGTGTAAAAGGTTAATATTGGTTATTGTAATATTCTTTCAAACTAGTATGACATCACTGAGAAAGAGTTGTTTCATAGGCTTGAAACACGATATGAAATGGACACAACTGCTACCCATTGGCGTAGCCTGGAAACTTGTGCTCTTTATACACTGTTCTCTGTGAATGATGTCACAGCAGTTAAAGTACTAACTGTTGATATTTACTTGAAAGAACCTCACTTCAAAAATCGTCCTTTCAGTTCTGCAGGTGACAGTGGATGGACGTTATTCTTGAAACACTTTTGGTCACTGCTTTTGGTCCAGCAGTGTATCATCTACTAATGGGTCCCATTTGAGATCATTTTCACTTTACACCATTCTGCTGAATACTTCCTTAACTGAATTTACCTCCAACCCCCCTCTTATACTCTATTACTAACTGTTAGCTAGCATGCTAGTTGAGGTTGTCAATGGTGTTCCTCGTTATAATTTGACGCTGGACGGAGCCTCACCAGCTTTAAGGCAGCATCTCACTAGGTGGTGATTGTTGGCAACAAATAGCAGTGTGTTCTGTGTTGCTGAATTTTGAACATGTTTGATAAGTTTGTAAGAAAATATTCCTCCCAAAAAAGTTGTTGCAGGCATTCCTAATTTAGTTACTGTAATTTTAGAGTTCCAGAGCTGCACTTCCTGTGTCATGCAATGTTCACTAAATATGTACGCAAATTGGCAGTAAATTTTGGTCCAAAATGTTTGCGCTAACATCTTGATTCAGTGATAACGTGGGTAAATTTAGTTGTTTCCCCTTAATTTTGTCTCTCCAACTTGTCCCCAAAAATAGCAGACCATTGAGATAGTACCTTTAATGTAGACAAGACAGTGACCATTAAGAACAAAATATGTACCGGTATTGCATAAATGTATTTTTCAGCGTAAATGCATGCTAGCATCCACAATAGCAAATATGGAGCTACGTGTTTAAGATTCTATGATTTTATGAAACGCTACAATCGTTTTTGTACAGTCCTTTAGCAGACAGAGCAAGAAGTTGTTTTTATAATCTTTTTTTCATTATTATTATTATTTAATCTTAAATAACAGTCATATGTGTTTCCCATCAGCTCTCATGTATGCCAGCATATTTGGGAATGTGTCTGCCATAATACAGCGACTGTACTCAGGCACAACCCGCTACCACACCCAAATGCTGCGGGTCAAAGAGTTCATCCGCTTTCACCAAATTCCAGGAGCTCTTCGCCAAAGACTAGAGGAGTACTTTCAGCATGCCTGGACCTACACAAATGGCATAGACATGAATGCTGTATGTAAAGAAATGTATACTCTTATGTTGCACATGTTTGTTTCTTATGTCTAATCATTGAAATGATGACGGTTTTGTATTCCCTCTGTAAGGTGTTAAAGGGTTTTCCAGTGTCTCTGCAGGCAGACATCTGTTTGCACCTCAATCGTTCTTTGCTACGCAACTGCAAGGCTTTCCGTGGAGGCAGTAAAGCATGTCTACGTGCATTAGCGATGAGGATCAGGACCGTCCATGCTCCTCCAGGGGACACTTTGATTCACTATGGCGACATCCTGGACTCGCTTTTCTTTATCTCACGTGGTTCCATTCAAGTCATGAGGGATTATGTGGTGATAGCCTTATTAGGTATAACTACCGTAATAAACCATGCTGCAATAAATAAACGCTCTGACAATGGTGTCAAAGGAATGAAAGAAAGCATCTTCATTCTCATACAGAAAAGAACGACATCTTTGGAGAGCTTATCCACCTGTTTGACCAACCAGGAAGGTCCAACGCAGACGTGTACACCATCACTTACTGTGATCTACACTGCATCCAAAGGGAAGATCTGCTAGACGTTCTTGATGTTTACCCAGATTTTGCTGACAACTTCTGGAAGGACCTAGATATCACGTTTGACCTGCGAGATGTGCGCCAACACAATAGGATAAAAATAAATAGATGGTCACTTTATTTGTTTGCTATATGTTATGGTTAATTTAAGCTGTATACCAAACATGATTGTTTTCTATGTGGTCACCAGACTGATCCAGTGCCACCGATAATAACCGATGATTCTGGGGACGAATGGGAATATCGCCACAAACCAAAACACAGAATTCACTCCCTTGACTGCAGAATAAGGCCAGGTGAGTCATTTATCTGAGTTTAAACCATGGTAATGGCATAAAAGCATCAATAATCAGCCTTGCAAATGGCTCTCCAACTAATGTAAAGTTTATATATTTGGCACCAACAAGACAAAACACCCATTAATTGATTTTCCACAAATCAGTAAGATGACCTTCATTTGTCAGTATAGTGAGTTAAAATGTCTCAAGTTCATATATATTGAGCAACTAGAGCATAAAGGTCTAACTAATCCTTAAAGGCAAAGTAATCAATATTATAATAGTCTTTTTGTTGGTGTTTCTTCTTCGTCTCTGTCAGAGCTGCCTCCCTGATGACCTGTATGTGATCGTGAGACAAATAATGTACTGTAGTGGATTGACTAAAGAGTTTTCCTGTAAATAGATGGAATCGATCATGAAGACTCCTATCCTCTTCAGTCCTGCCATCACTCACCACCTCAGGCCGGCTGGGAGGATCTCTGGAGCTGTGGGTCATGTTCCCAGTCAAGTGAAGGCCTGGCAAAGCCTCTTGCTCACAATGCTGGAACAGAGCTTTGCCCTCCAGAAGATGCCAGACAGGAATGCTCTCCCTCTGCGGTGCCACTGCAGCCCCAAAGTGGAATCTCAGTGAGGGGGGATGTGGTGTTGGACCAAGGCAATCAAGGTAGGAAGGAATCTTGACTGACATTTAAAAATGGTAATCCAGTTTTGAGAGTTTAAGCATGCTGTAATAATCGAAACAAAACACAAAAGTTTATTTTTTTTTATCTAAAAAGCTTAAATGTGTTAATCAGTTTGTTTGTCTTGACCTCAGCCTCATCTTTGAACGAGCCGGGAATGTATCGCTTCTGGCCAGATCAACAGTCTCAACAGTGCTCCAATCACGTCTTGCGATCTTCTGCCTGCAACTCAAACCACCCTGCACTGATCACAGAAGAGAGACCCAGCGAGCTGGAGTCTCGACTTGAGGTGTTGCAATCACAGCTTAACAGGTGCACCGCTCCCGCTCCCTTTTAAATCCCAATAACTTTCAAGCAGCACATCCAAGAAGTGCCTGCTCTACTGGTGTAGAGCCATAGCCCCTCTTATTTTTCTTTAACAGCTAGTCTGCTCAGGGTATCAGCTTCAGTACTCAGGGATTTTCATGACAACGGCCTAATTAACTGTCCTCTGTTATTTTCTTCATCTAACCACCCCAGGTTGGAAACTCGCATGACAGCTGACATCACTGTTATTCTGCAGCTTCTCCAGAGGCAGAGTGCTTCTGTACCCCCAGCTTACAGCACAATATCATCCAGTACTCTCCCTACTGATTCAGCTGGTTTATATGGGACTGAGACTCCAGTGTTGCACAGCATGTGTCCAATTTCCCCCAAAC